GGTGGGCCCCCACTCTCCTGGCCCTTCGGAAATGTTTGAAGATCCAGATCTATTGACTGGCTAGAGCTCATAGAGCTGTGGAACAGGTTGGCACTTCAAAGCCCCCCACACTGCCTTTTTAACTTAATTTTAATTATTCCATTCTTGTTTAAATTGCCCCCTAATATAATTGCCTCCTAATGTAATTGTACATTGCCGAGTGTCGCGCTGGGAGTGAGATAGGCAGTCTCTAGTTTTGATATATAAATAAACAGAAAAAAGCAGCAAAACACAAATATAATTCCTCCCATATTTAATTATAACTTTTTTTTTCTTCAATATACTTTGCATCGGATAGGCACAGGAAAGGGAGGGACAGAACACTAGTATGTAAAAGGAGAGAAATACATTTCCATGTTTCCCACTTCTAACAGTAAGTCAACTATCTTTCAACCACCTACAGCCATATGAATATATCATGCGTGACTTTGAAAGGGAAAAATTCGCAATGGACACCCAGACCATCAAAGGGGTGACTGGCTATGTGAAGGAGTAGTCATTGTTTCTCAAACCCCAAATAGGAACAACCTTGATTGAAGCAACTCTATCCCTCCAGGAAGCATTACTGAAGGCCAGCTCTTCTTTGCAGAACTAACAAGAGCAATCCCTCCCACATTCACAGCCTCTTGTGAAATTTAGTATTTTCAGTAGAAAAAAGAGGAAGGCAGCAGAATGGTTCCAATTTTCAGTCTGGTGTGTTCATTTACTTTACTAATTCAACAGGAAGCTGAACAAGAGATGTAGCATAACATGGAGTTCAGTTCAGTTCAGTTCATAGGCAGAGAGATATGAAGCTCTCAAAGTATTGGGCAGAAGAGACCATCTCTGACCCACCAAGCCTAATATTCACTCTTCCTTTTGTATTTCCACGTGAAGATTAGCTTAACAGAAAAGTCTGGAAAAAGGGGGAGGGTTCAATAAGTGCACTGGCCAGATTTTTTTTTTTTTGCCTTTTTAATTTAAATCCTCAAAAAGTTACTTATCAAATTTGAAAAATGCAATAGAACATAGAACAACAACAGATTTGGAAGGGACCTTGAAGGTCATTTAGTGTTCAAGCAGGAGAGTCTATTTCAAATATTAGCCTATACCTAGGATCGAACTCACAGCTTCCTGGTTGTGAGGCAAGAGCTCCACCTCTAGGCCATTGCACTGGACTTATAGCCCTACAATAGCCATACCAGGAAATCCAACAAAAATTATTGTTTCTTATGGCACTAAACTCCAGCTCCAGGCTCAATTTCAAATCATCCATTAAACACCACTATTACCACATTCAACAACTGTCATGATTTAAGCCAATTGCCTTTATCTTACACTTTCTCCAAATCAACCATCATCAATACCTTTTCTTGTTGCTTTCATGTATTTCCCAATGACCTGTGGAAAAGTGAGTATCTGCTTCACACATCCCTTGCTTGGCATGAAGCCACATTACATTTCCCAAATTTTGCTGACTGTCTTGTCTCTTAGCTTTTCAATGAAATTCCTGCCAAACTCTTTCCTGAGCACTTTCACCAATCCTTCTGTAATTAGAGACCGATTCTAATGGAAATAACATGTTTGGTAAGTGGGCAAAGATAGTTAAACAAGTCCTCAGAAGAGTGAATGGAATTAAAATTATTTGCAATCAAACTGAAGTGGGAGAATATTCAAATAAATATTTTAGGAATATTTATGGGAACAGTGATCAAAAAGTGGAATTGAAACAATTAGTTTAAGTTTTTGTGTCAATGATGGGAAGGAAATAATAAATATGATAATGTTTGAAAATGGTGAGACTGCTGGCAGAGATTGTAAAAGCTGAAGCAAAGAATACTTTTGTCCTGTGAGGTTCCAGTGTAGCTTAATATAAGTTTGTATCTGGAGGTTCAATCTGTGCCTGATAATCGGAAGAAAGTTTTCTCCCATATGAAAGGCAAAGTAACAAAGGCAAATGCAAAATTTTCTGTGTTTTTAACCTTAACAATACCTTACCCTGCTTGAGTATGTTCTTTGCAACTATATTTTTAAATCCCCTTTCCCCCATTTTTCCTATTCATAGCCTCTTTCCCTTCATTGCTGCATCTCATCCTTCTCTAATCCTATCATTCTTCCATCCATAAATAACTGATTCAATGAGCTTTTAGATTAATATTTTTCTCTTTTCTAAGCAGATTGTCACCAGTCACATTTTTATACATTCTTGAATCTGCATTTTTTCTACTCATCTTCTTCCTACCTATCACTTTGTGTTTGTTACCTAGCATAATTTTCCATTCAGTCCCAATCAAATTAAAATGTAGCACAATTTTTCCCCAAACCAAGTGCTGATTACTTCTATTATCACCATTTACTGAAATATATAACATTCAATTATCACCAACCTACAGAATCTTATTTTCCTATGCCCTCAAAATCTACTTGGCATAAATCCTTGTGTTCTAGCACATATTTTAGATCTATATCTTTTCTTTAATTTCATTTTTTTAATTTTAGCATTTACATCTCTTATATTTAACATGCCATGTCCATTACAAATGGATACTGACCTCCAACTGGCATCATAACTAGTTAATCAAGTTAATCAGTCAATTTCATATAATGCCTTGTAGTAATATAGAGAAGCGATCATTTAAGCTACCAACCTTAGTTACACTGTTGCTATATTCAGCATTCCTTGCTAAAACATGGATAGCATCAATTAGATTTGTCACATTTTGGCATGTACATCAAAATGTACCAAATAACCCAACTCCACCCTAATCCCATTCCGCTGCTTTTGTAAGCCGAATCAACCACTACCTTGCAGGACAATTATTGTCCATAACTCAACAGTACAAGCAGCACACTGGCACACACTCACTGCCAAACATTGACATACAAAATAAGATCAAGCTAATTTAAATTAGGCACGCTAAACTAACATCCCCAGCAAGTCATCTAATATTTTTTAAATGCCAATAGAATTTACAGTCACACAGAAAATGACTAAACCTCCCAATTGGGTAGAAATGTAACCTTTATGTTGTGAGACAGGTTCACCGTTTTCTTAGAAGCACTTCCCACCAACCAGAAGTCAAACATTAAGCTATACTGTAGTTTCATGTTTCATTTTTAGACAGTCACAGAAATGACAACCCTACATAAGCCAACTAGGCTTTCAAAATCTCTTGGCTGAAAATCTAAAATGGAAGCCCAGGAAGTGAGAATCCCTGCGTTCTCAAGTCTAGTCAAACAGCCCTTGCAAACACAGGGGGTACGGTTAAATACACCAATCTTTTGCAGAATATATACCCAACAAAAATGCTTTACCACCCACCCAGCCTGTTTCACTTTTGATTATTATGTGGTTACAATCCACTTTCTTACTTTATTCCCCCCACAACTGGTTTATTGATAGGTATGATAAAATTATAATCTATTAAACTGGAAAGCCAATCAACTACCATAAGGATCATCCTGGCATCGGGCTACTGAAGGCTCAAATAATGTATCAGTCATGCTCAATAAGAATGCACCTGACTAATACTGAGCAGACATACCTCACACAGCTGATGTGAAAAATTTATAATTTTTAAAGCATTGTGAGTATTGCTACAAAAATAGATGACTGCACACACAGCCTCAAAGCAATGTTTTTGAGAACACATTCTTGCTGAAAACTATCAGGTTATTTCTATAGAGTATTTCTTACCATTTTAACCGTAAGCACTAACAAACCCCAGTGCCATAAGGACAAAATGCTTTGTTTAACTGTTACCAGGTTTGGCAACAAACCCCAATGATATATATATAGGAATGTTTTTGATTTCTCACAGCATATGCATAAAACATGCCTGCCCATAGCACAAACATAAATTAATGCAGCACCCTTCCAACATACAGCATACATACCAGCATAGATTTATTTTTACCATCCGATGAGAGCAACTAAGGCAATTTCCACCCTATTCAGCTAAGAGTGAGTCTAGAGTAGTCATTAAATTAAAAGAAATCAATCCTGCATTGTCAAGAAAGTATTTGTCCTAGTACAGTAGAGAGATGCAAAGCCTCCGCATTCTTAGATCTACCGAATTTTAAATTTTTCTTTCCGGAATCGTTCCAAAGCCACTGTAGGGGGAATCTTTATAAAAGTTCTATTCGATTCACACATACAACTTTGCCCATTCAGCCACGATCAAAATGCAGATGGGAGAGGCTATTATGCGTCTCTTCAATGCCTGGACGCTTTCCTCCTCCCCAAAGGGGGTCCCAACAACAGAAAACCTCACACTCGGCAAAAGCAGCCCCCCCAAAGGTCACGGATCAGGGCTCTCGCTCCCTTCCCCACCCAGGCTGCGCTCTCAGCCTTTCTCTTCCAAACCAACTCGGGTCGCAATTTCAGAAATAAAAAAATAATGCAAAGCCCCCCCCCCCCCCCAAAAAACCCCATTCCGATATTCAGCTTTGCACGATGAGCTGCCGCCGCATTGGGTTTTCGACCATTCTCTGCCCCCAACCCCACCCCCCACCCCTCGTCCCGCTCCCTCGAGACAGAAAACTACCCAAGCGCTAACAAAAAGAGGATTTTTAAAAAAAACCTTTTCAGTGTTTTGTTTTTTTAATTCCCCCGATGCCTTGAGGTACCCAGCAGAACAATTTCTCTCACGGCCGACAGAACAGGCTGCAGCGAAAGGTGGTGGCGTTGAACGGGCTAGCCCCTCCAGCCCGCCGCCCTCCAGATCGGGAGGGCTAAAACTCGCCCGGACAGTCGGTGCAGTCCTGGACGCTTGCCCGGGACCAGATGCGTCGGAAAGAGGGATGGCGCGAAGCCATCCCCGATCGCCCTCAAACTTCCCAGCAGGTCCGAGTAGAAGAAGGGAGCGTTTCTCTTCCCCCCCTCATTCTTCCGCCTGTCCGTAACTCCGCCTCTCCTTCGCCCCATTCATGCCGGCCGGCCTGCCTGCCTTCTCTTCTTGCCCTCCATCCTTTTTTCTTACCTGGCTCGGCAGCCTTCTCCCACAGCCGCTCGGAGAGCGAGACGAGGCTCAAGCCCGCAGCGCCGGCGAAAGCCGACAGTCTCTCTCTCTCTCTCTCTCTCTCTCTCTCGCCCGCCTCGCTCCTCGACCCGCTCGTCTCTCCACCTTGGGCAACAGTTGGTAGTTGCACGAAAGCCACGCCCCCCGCGGGTTCCTGTTGCTAAGCGCCCCGAGCGCTTCATTGTATCCGTCCGGTGAGCTCACAATGGCGGGGTTTGCGAAGATTCCAAAAAGGGGCGGAGCCAGGAGTCGAGAGGTAATAATCACTTGAAAAAGAGGTCAAGGCCGGCCGACCACCCGGCGTTGCTTGCGGCCGGCGGGGAACCGGTGTCTTAGCTGTAATGCTAACCGGCCGACCCTTGGGGAAAAAGCGGTCGAAATCTTTCGCTGCTTTTAAAAAGGGATAAATGTCGAAGCTGGGTCTTTTTGGGGCTGCGGTGCCGGGCAGTCGCGTTAAAGGGGGAGGTCCGGCTTACCTCATAAGGGTTGAGTGTTGAATAGTAGCGCAGGTCCAAAACGTTTCATTTATACTTTGCCTCTTCATTCCTCGGACGGAGTAAAAGATAAGAGGGCAGTTTACGGACAGCTAAATTCAACCCGGTTTGCAAGCTTGCGATGGAAGAGGAAAATTCTGAAGAATTGTTTTTTTTTAAAAAATCTCTTTTCTTTCTCAAGACCTTCTCCTTTGGACTTCCCTGCAGTAAAGTTCTTAATAATTCGGATTTGAATTCATAATTGGGAGCCTTTGTTTCAGCGGGATGCAACATTTACTTTACTTGGGTGATAAGAAACAGCCTGATATCTTACAGCGTCTTGGTGTTTGATTTTAAGTTTGCATACTGTGTAAATTCGGTCAACTGTAGTTTACTCAGAAAATCATATTTAGCAGTCTGAGTAAACCAGTTAAATGAGCCATTTTTTCCTCTCTTTTTTATTATATTGTTATACATCTCAATGAGAGCACGTTTGGTTAAGGCATCAGTCTAGAAACAAGAAGATGCTGAGTTCTAGTTCCACCTTGGGCAGAAAGCCAACTGGATGACCTTGGGCCAGTCACTTTCTCTCAGATTTAGGAAAGAGTTAATGGCAAATCACTACTGAAAAACCTTCCCAAGAAAGCTTCAGGGTGTTCTCCAGAGTCTCCAACAACCCAATACAATTGAATGGAAGAAAAAAAATGTCAGAGTAATTGTAGATTTGAAGATTACTAACACTCCAATGTTAAATTGTTGAGGATAAGAAAAGTACTTCAATATTAATTACAATTTGGAATGTGAGTGTTGTGGGTGCTCCATCACTGCAGCTTTTCAAAAATAGACAGGATAACTCTTGACTTTTTCATCCAGAATTGAACATAATGTTAAAAACAGATTATGTCAAAGTATTTGTTATATAATAAATTTTGATCTTAAACCAATATAGTAACACCCCCATTGTATTGTTACTTGATGTTTTTGCACATATCAGTAAAAGAATAAAGTGGATAAACAAGTTTGAGAGCAGTTAAACTGCCAAAAAATATGGAATAGAAAAGAAGAAAAACTTGGTTTTCTAACATACCTCTTTTCGTACATCAATATATACAATCTTTGTAAACATTTCAACCCTCTTAAAAACCAGTCTAAATCAGGGGTCTCCAACCTTGGCAACTTTAAGACCAGTGGTGGGATTCAAATTTTTTTACTACTAGTTCTGTGGGCGTGGCCTGGTGGGCGTGGCAGAGGAAGGATACTGTAAAATCTTCAGTCACAGGTGGTATT